AAACTATGTTAGCCCATTACTCTATGTTTAACGTTTCAACGATCAATAAGGCAGCTTAGAAACAAACTACTTTCATGATTTCACATATGGTTTTTCGTTTTGTATGCTACGTAATATTAAATTAGTAGTTAGTTCAACAACCTGCTATCTGTATACTATACCGATGGTGGTGTACACTGTCTTTGTAAACTACAATCAACAAATTTGGTTTGAGGCTAAGCATTACAGATTTCCTATGGTTTGTAACTTGAGAATTAAATAAACGACTAATCCAGGAATTCGTCGACGGCAAACATGAAAGATCAAATAAAAAGTCCTATGTTGTTAATATATGAATTTCATTTTCTTATTTTTGGAGTTTCGAATTTTTTCCATAAACTCCGAGGTTCATTTTAAGTGGTGATTAAGAATTTCTATCATTACTGCTACCATGCATTAGCGTTTCTTGGTTGAGATTATTTGTAAGTGATAAATATTAAAAAAGAATCTAATTTCACTGTCCTATATGATGATTGTGGCATTACGGTAGATACCATAGAAAAGAGTGCAAACCTATTGAACAACTGCATCACTTATAAATTTTACTGATTACTTTTTCCTGTTTTTTATGACTAAGACTTTCTTCGAGCCTTGTTCTACACCAGAAATACACCTCCTGTCGAAGTAGGCGTTGGTTAAGCATACGTAACACATATTCTAATCAACTCAGTTGACGAAGATTCACTACCTTATCAACTGATTTGACATCTTTACATAGTATTCTTTCCCTCACACAGGTATTGTTTACTCCGTGGTCTCAAAATGCCTGGGCAATGCTCCCTAGACACCTCTGATGGAATATCAGTAATCTACGAATATCCTCTACTCTTAATGACAAAATTTCATATCCATAAATTTTAATAACTGAAACTGCGAGATGTTTAAAATAACTATCCATTGACGTAGTAGCAACGTCAAAAAATATTTGCGTTATAAAACGTTTAGGTAATACTAATAATCTCAAATTAATTCAGTCAACCATAAATTATTATTCCTTTACTGCCCCAATTGAAATCTTGTCTTCAGGTTCTACACCATTTGTTCTCTACTTTACTCTCTAGAAAGAAAACTGTTATGAATAATTTGTCCGAACGGAACGAAATGCTGCCCACAAAACACGATTTCACTTATGATGAAGAAATGGACCTTCCTGAGGAACAAATTGAATCTTATTCATGGGATTCTGATGAATGTGAATTTTAAATGTCATGTGTTTCAGATTTGTCGTGTTTAGTGAAAATAACTGTATATAAGTTATATTGTATATGACCGAAATAAAGTGAAAACATTTTAATTGCTATGTCTATATTCAGTATTGTACTCCTGAATACATGAACTAAAGATACGATGACATTTAAACGGTTTTATTATGGTGCACTTAAGCTTTATTTGTAAGATTATTTTGATTAAAAATATCCAAGAAAATATGTGACAGAAATGTACAGAGAGGATAAACAAAATACTCATTAATAATATATTGAATTCATTGATCATTGGCCGATTATTAATTTGAATCCCTTATTACATGTTATTGTGCATTGCTTAGAATGTTTTTCACTGCTTTCTTTAGAACTTATTATTGTTAATAACATTTGAATGTCAATTCATGATTTTTTTATTGACTTTCTGCCTTATTAAACAATTCCGTATAGATACATTTTGCTGGTGACAAATACTAAATATAAAATAATAAGCGAATAAAAGAGTTAATTGTATATTCTTATCTTTGGTCTCCTTAAGTAAAGTGGCTGATACATTTTAGCAGATAAAAAGCCGTGATCTAACGACTAATAATACGATCTTATCCAAAGCTAGTTGACCAAATGCAGTTGTATTCTAACTTGTTAAGACAACTCAGTAACGAAGAATCGGTTCATGATAACTGCTTTGGAGCATACACTTTGTATGAGAGTTAGTAATTTTACCCGGTTATTTAGATCAAAATATTTGGATCTGTACTCAAATCGATAACTCATAAAGTGATAGTTGAACGCTTTCACTATTAAACCACTTGTACTTCAATAAAACGTCAGTTCCTACCTCACAACTAACTCCTATCATTGGAGCGTAGGTCAACACACGGATAAGATAATACTACTCATTGTACATACCCACACAATATTTTGTTTTTCAAAAAAGTTTTGATCTCTCAAATTCTTTCATCTCACAGAAGTAGAGCTATTATTATCCTGAAAAGTATTCAGACCTAAAATAATTAACAGACATTAGGTTCTGTCATGTGAATAACTTATACAATTCTTTATTCTAATGATGTAGGTTTGTCATACTTCAAGTAAATTTATATTAATGTAATCAGGTTTTAAGCAGAATTCATCCAATATCTCGGTCTTTTGAGAGCTAAAAAATCATGTACGAACATAAGAAGTTTTGAAATCTCTGTTAGTTAATGCATTCTGTACATGATCATTCTTATTATATTTCAACTTTGAAAGCGAAGTGCTTGCCGTGTAGTCTAGAAACAAAATTTTGCCAGGTTTTAAAGAGAGGTTGATAACATTTATAAAACGAAATTACCGTTCTCTTCTTTTATTCACTCCGAGCAATAATGTCCTACAAAAGTTCCTAGCATATTTGTTATAAGGATTCCAACCTTCAGGAAGCGTTAACAAGATTCTGTGTCCATTCATCTGTTTTCAGGACGCTCATAATTTATTTCTGAAGTTATTTTTACGTTGCTAAATAATTGCTGCATGTTTTTGTTGGATCAGTGTGATGCATTTTTTCAGTATCATCAGTGTTGAACGGTGAGTTGCACAATGACTAAAAACAGCTAATTTCTCATGAGTCACTGGTGAATGGTTATATATACCCCAACTAACCGGTCGAGAGTAGTCCTATCAATGCAATCTGGTACTTATGGTCAAATTTATGGCGTCGCTTTTTTATTAACTCTACATGGAAATATTTCACATAACATAATCCTATCCCATATATTACTTCTTTAAACAATGTAGGACAGCTCGCCGTAGTCTTAGTTATCTCATATAATCAGTAAGCATGGATATGTGCTTAAGGTCAAGTAATTAACACATTCAACTACTCTATGTGGATAGATCAAACATATGTCACCAGATAGGTTTGCATGTATTATGATCAAAACTTATTTCAAACATTTGAGTTCTAAATGTTCAAATACTTTTATGTATGATCCTCATCTCCCCCCATTTTATCTGCTTCTTTTCCTATTTGTCCTGATAAACATTTGACCTATTAACAGTGCACAAATCAGTACATGAATCAAGTTTTATTTTGAATATGCTGACTAAAATGATCATCAATATAATATGCTGCATTATATAGAATTTTCAGGGGTAGAAGTTCAAATTCCAATTGTAGTCTAAATTAACTCTTGCAAGTGAACGACCACAGATTATCAAGATAAGAAGTCCAAATTTTATTTCTCATTGTCAGTTCTGATTTTCTTCAGTAAAACATGATACTTGAATCTAATATAAGTAAAGGGTATGTCACTGACTACACAAGGGATGACATCTACATTAAAATCACCTTTTTATTAATAGGTTGATTTTGAGTGGACAATTTTATTTGTATTAATTAAGATATTTCTCAATGTTGATTGTACTTCACTGGACAAAGAATGTGAATAAATGTGTAGTTGTAGTTGTTTGACACTGAAGAACTACGTGTTTTCATATCTCAATGTATAAAGACTTAGACGTTTGTTTATTTTTTGTTGGTTGTCGTCAGTCGGCGTATTTAAGATCTGGAGAAAATTATTTCTATACGTGTCCTTTAAGACCAGTTACATAAATATAACCCCCGAGTATCCCCGAAAGGCAGGAATTAATCCAAGGAATTTACCCACAACTGAAGACATCAATTCATTATTGTAGTTTGTATGAATCTTTCGATTGACGTTTAAAAATACAACTGATCAGTCTCTTATTGGCACATGTTCATCATGTGCGGATTGCTTAGATGTCGCATTAAGTCACAAGCATTATAAGCTGAGATAAATGGTGTTAGCCACCTCCCAATACCAAAACATGTGTATGGGGATTTGTGGAGATTGTAGTATTTTAAAACTTGAATTCACGAGCCGATCCAAGCTAGACCACTATTGAAAACCTGGAAGCCCAGGACGTGAGTGTACAGCGCTTAGGAGTCCCATGCTAGGGAGAAATGGTGATTCAGTACTACCAGATTTTCGATGGTGGTCTAGCTTAGATCTACTCGTGAACAAAAATGTATTAAACTTCACCCAAATGCACAATCTAGTGGCTATCTAGACTCAGAAGCTAACTGGATAACATGATGGCGTTTAACGCGAACGGTACTTGGTTCAAGCACAAACGTCTAACAAGTGCAAAATAGGACGAAAAATGCGTCCTGGGTTCCACTGCTAGCCACCATCCACCTCTGCTTCGGAAGATAGCAATATTATTACGAATCCAAATAAAATCTGACCGTTTGAGGTCGTAGGGTTAGCTTTCAAAATTCAGATTTCAAACTACACTTTTGAAGAAAATACGCTTAAACTGGAGATGAAACATCATTCAAGCAAAATTTGCAAATATACCTCAGTGAAATTTTTCACAAATTCGTTGATTGAGAGTTAAATTAAATTGATATTTTATTCTTGAGTCGTAATGAACGTTTTTAAACTAAAATCTAATTTTTAACAGAATGTTTGTATGTTATTTTCACTCAGCATTTTAGGATAACAAAATTTAACCTCTTCTTTGTATCACAATCATAGTACCGAAATTACATTTATGATGTATCATCAAACAGTACTACTTATGAGTAACGAAAACATAATTAAACATTTTTCTTCACTTGTACCCAATTGGTTGATCAAAATCTTGCTTTCAATTTACTGGTCAACGTAATAAATATTCATCCAAACATTTTTCTTTTTCTTGATTATATTCAGAAGTGAGCGTTCGATACTAGTTTTTATCACTTAAAACTGGAGATTGTAGCTTGAATTTATATATTTATAGGCAAAACAGAGCTTCATAATTAAAGATTTTTATTATACAAAATAATGAAATCATTAATAATGTGACTAAAATAATGATAGAAGAAAATAACGATAAGAAAAATAACAAATAATGGGGTGGTAATACAAATTATTAAGAAAAATTCTCTTGTAAACTTTTCACAAATATTTAGTTCGATCAGCAGCTTATAGTGACACACATTGATAATTTGATTTGGTTGAATAAACAATATCTGTTTCTATGATTTAAAACTTTGAAAACAATTTCAGTTTATTACAATTCATTCACTATTTTTGCACGTGCATTAAAACTTAGAAAATCTTTTTGTTGATTTCGTCGACGTCCTCCATTTACTGTTGATCTATTACTAATTATATCCGAATCAATATTACTTATAATTGATTGATGACTGTTCCGTTGAACAGACTTCTTAGATTCGGTAGAGATGGGAGTATCTTGAACGGATAAAGCACCATTTATCTTATCATTTCTTGACCTATAACTATATGCTGGTGAACTATTACGAATACTTGTCAGTGAATTATTATGTTGTGATAATGAAACCATAGATGATGGATAACTGGATGATTGAATGGTCATCTCGTCACTGGTTCCAACTTTATTTTTTTCTGATTCACTTGATAAAAAACTGTCATCTGAAATCTAGATCACGAAAAAAAGTGTTGTGATATGTTGTATTTGAAAGTATTATTGCAAATATTAACTTGAAATTCATTTCTAACATGAACTTCCATCAATTGGGGAACTAAATAAAAGTACTGAGAACCGAACAATGTTTTTTATTCTAGTTTTACATTACTCAACACAAAGCACATATGAAATGACATTTGATCGAATCCAAAATTACAGTTGAAATTGTTAACAAGGCAATTTCATTACAATAACTTAAAGGAACAGTGCTCATTAAGAGACATAAAGGGCTTAAATTTTGATTCAATATTCGAGTGTATGTCTTTACTGGTGAAAAGTTTCAACTTAAAACAAAACGACAGTTCAGTAAAATGTGATTATCAATTTCTCTTTAATTGACATTACCATTTAATGGAAAGAACTTTACGGTTTCATAGAATTCACTTTCAACTAAAGCGTAATAGTAACTGTTTTAATCGAGTTTATTTAACGATGTAGATGTTATCTAACTATTAAACTGTAGTTTATCAGAACTTGTGAAAAAAAACTCCAAGATCACACACAATAAAATTACTATAGAATTGAATAATTTCGTATTTCCATGGTGACATAATCAATTGCTTAGAATTAAATATCAATGAGAGATCATTATACACGAATCTTTCAAATAGACAATGATTAATTGAATAATCAATTTATTTAGTTGAAATGATCAATGAAATGTAGAGAGAATAGACCAATATGAATAAACCATGGTAATAAGTTTCAGTCGTGAATGAATGCTTACATAGTAAATTGAAATAATCAAACAGAAAAAGAGAGCCATTATACTAATTAAATACTAGAATAATTAAAATTGCTACCAGAAACCAGGTCAAAAGTGACAACCATATATTTGTTCACTTAAAGTACATTGGAAAGAGTTCGTATAACACGATATCACTACATAGCGAATGAATAAACACAATGAAGTCAGTTGTTGTATATCCATTTTAACCCAAGCGATACATAATTGTTAAATAATATGAATGTAACTTTCGTCCCTCCACCAATAAAATATTATAGCAGAGTATAACGGATATTGGTTATTGTTCATTTATAACGAGATCATCAACTGATCAATGGTGAACATTGACTGACTAATGAAACTGTTAATCTTCATAAATTGAGATAACTTAACCATGCTGTCCACATAGAGAAAACTTATAAACTTCAATGGATGTTATTGTTGATCAATATAACAAGAGAACAATTACAACATCTATTAAACTGAATTGCTATATTGGATCATTGGAATATGGCTTGTAGTGACCTACTTTTATCAAGGGAACGCGATTGGTTTAATGGGAACAATTATGATTATAATCAATTGTACCAGTGATTGTTTTACTGTACTTGTTTGTTTGACTGTACTAAAGATATTCTTCCTTCCGTTGATTGTGACCTTGCACGAATTCGGTTACTCTCGGTAACCACACTTGTAACCTGGCACGATCTCGGTATTCTTTCGATACCACAAGATCACCAACAAGTATATCTCGCTATAACCTCCAGTCGCTTTCTGATATCTGGTACGCAACCTTCTTGTAGTGGTGATCATAGTGAACCGCGACTCGACGCCACACTACAAGTTTTCGATTATTGATAATATCCATGTAATAAGTTTTGTTTGTTAAAATTGAGTTATCAGAGCTAAAGAACATTTGTTTAAAATGTTGTTTGTTTCAACTTTGTCTATATGCTATTATGACCATGTTAAAAATAAATGGAACGCACTTAGTTCACTTGTTTTTGACTTTTAATCAAATAACTGAGAACCCTATTGAATAACATCCGAAATACTACTGAACGCTGAAAAAAGTACCTTGCAGTGTGATGTACAAATCTCAATGCTTCAATCTGATTACTTTTCATTAACTTCAGTTAAAACTCAAAACACACTAGGAAATTCAGGTAATAAAAGACATTCTGTGATTATTAACAAGATCTGACCAGTACTCGAAATAAACAATATACACGGAGTAAGAGCTCTATATTTTTAATCCAAAAAGGATCAAAAAATAATTAAACTCCATTACCATATGGGTCATATTCAGAAGACAAGGTCACCCAAACAATCGGCAAGTCACAAATCGAATGAGAAATACTAGGCTTGAGTATAATGAATATGAAGGTATAATCCTTCAAAATCATCAAAGAGAAAATAACCTTTCCAAGAAAATTGAATTTATAAGAAATAACATTTGGACATCATAAGTGAGGTTAATTAATTAGTTAAGTGGATGGAGTATACTTGGTGAAAAACTTTTATTCATCAATAATGAATTTATTAATCTATCATAATTTGCCTTAGGGATTATATATGGAGTTTTCATCACGAACTGACATCAGCTTTAATGTCTGAAATTTATTTAGCCAAATGGATGAAAGGCTTTTACGTTAAAATCCGAGATCTATTATCTTATACCTGGTTGATTCGTCCACAAATTATAGTCTCGCCGTTTTATTTGTTATAGTCTCTAAATTATCACGTTTTGTACAAATTTCCCCATGAACCGATCGTACGCTAGCATTAAGCACTGAAGTTGGCGCCATAACCTTGAAATCTCTAGAACGCCTCTGATTAGCTCGTCCATAAATTAGTCTCGCCGAAAATATACAAAATAGAATTTAACTAAACTTTGTTAAACTAAATGTAATAAACAGTATAGGTGTTGTAGAGATTATTAAGTTTTTGATTAATATCATGAACCGATTGATGTTAGACCACCGTTATAAACCTGAAAGCACCGGACGACCATTTAGACAATAACACCATTGGATGCCGGCTCAGTGGTACAGTAGGTCAAAAGTTCACGCGCAAGACTGAAGGTTCGAGGTTCAAACCCCGCGAGCGAGATCGTGGATGCGCACCGCTGAGGAGTCCCACAACAGGACGAAACGGATGTCTATTGCTTCCAGGTTTCCAATAGTGTTCTAACACCAATCGGTTCATGATCTCAATCAAAATAAATGTAATGAATATTTATATTTGGATAAGAAATAATTTGATAGAATAGTTTGCATTATTTCTCTCTAATATTTTCATTTTCTACAAAATAAAGCCTACACAAATGAGTTTCACTAATTAACAAGATGTGAAAATGATGCGCATATATATATATATATATATATATATATATATATATATATATACCGACTGAATTGATTGTTTCATATCTAAGGTTATTTATACTTGCATAATTCACTTAATTAAGATATTTAGTAGAATAAGTATATTAATTATTATGTATAATCAACAAAATATTAAATAATTCATATTCTTTACTGATTAGACATAATGTACAAAATGTGATTCTCCTCACTTATACTTGATATTAATTTAAATAAATAATGATTTATATGAATAATATTAAGGTTAGTTACAACAAGTTTATGATGTATTTCCATTGATGTTGTTTTTAGTTGTTGTTCATTTACATTTTTTTTTTACTTGATCTATTAATCGATTAATTAGGTAAAGTAAAGTGAGTTTATTAATTAGAGATTATACCTATCCATATATGCATATAATAAAATGAATGTAATAACACTAAAATAAGTAAGTATGACGAATATCTTGGAGAATCTTTGACCAAAAACAAACATACAAAATTTTGTATTTTAATAAAAGATACAAAATTTTTAATCTAGAAATAAAGATTAATTGTTTCTACGTGATACAATTTAGAAAAAAAAACTGTTAAGGCTTCATGTGACAGATATAAACATCAAATCTAATAGGACTGTGTATTAATCTAGGTTGTTCTATTTTATATTAGTACAAGAAATGTAAACAAACTATTAACATCAATCATAAAGACAAGTAAATAATTTCTTTTTTTTTTAAAAAAGAAGAAAAGATATCACACGTAGTAAATGAAAAGAAAAAGTGAAAATTACGAAAGAAGTTCGTCTAGAGTGTACAAGATAATAAGCAATCAATGTATGTACTCTATGACTACAGTATATGTGTTGCATCATTCAAAGACATTTAAATACGGACAACATTTATTTTATAGATTAAATGTGTGACTTTCGAGATGACTTAAACTAGAGTTTAGTGATTTCTACTACATTTTAAGTTGACAATTCTTATCCTTTATTCTTATGTTAACCAGCATAGTGCGCCGAATTAATTAGAGAATGGGTTTAAACAACAGATATCTCAACCATCTCAATTGATGGAAATACAATGTAATGTGAGCTATTTAAATCCACACAAGTAGTATTTCAGTAGAAGATCGAGAAGGAAAGAACAGAACGGAAGACAATTGGTATAGAAATGCAGGAATAATGAAATTTGAAACGATGAACTGATATTTACAAAGGGCATAGTCAAGTTTGAAACGATTGGTTGATATTTTGCAAATTGATTCTTTACTGTAAGGCTCTCAGATTTTAGTGAGATATTCTGGAATATCGTGTTCAAATACTTTTGATTGTCCTCAATCGTGTTCTTCTTCACTACAACACTATTCCATCAAGTAATTTAAGCATTCTAAATTGATAACCTACACATCAATTCACTATTACTTGTCTGGTGGTTCCATTTGAATATTGCGAGGAAACTTATGACCAAATGGTACGAAACATATTATTTGCTCTTTTTAGCATAGGCTATTTTTCACATTTATAAACCTATAACTGTCTACAATCATTATGGAACAACCACTTGTGCAATGCATTCAAATTTCTTTATTGACTAAAACCTTTAAAATGATATTTCATCGTTTTTTTGTCATTATTCTGTATGATGTTGATTCAGCGGTTGATGACTAGAGTTTTCTGCTTCTACAGTCTCGTTTTCATCCTTGCATTGACAAAACAGTCACGTAACGTTGTAATAAGTAGCAGGTAGAAAGAAGTATGTCGCAATCAGAGTAAATAGTTATATCAGTGGCAGAGATCAAATTTTATTTCAAATTACAACCTTGACAAATCAGTTTGCATAAGGTGATTTTACAGTTTCA